CTAAGATAAGAGACAAAACACATGGATTAGATAGAAGGGGAAGGCCCAATAGATCACCTCTATCTCTCTGTTTTTTTCTTCTTCAAGCAAGCTCTGGTGATCTTACGCCTAATAAGTGTTTTTCTTATCCCAAAAATCATTGCAAGAGAAAGATCACAACTGAAAAAAGAAAAAAAAATCCTATATATATAAGGTCAAAGCTATTTCCATGGCAACGTTGTTAGCCTTAATTTAATCAAGTAATCATTAAGTTTTGGAAAATAATAAAAAAAAAAGCTTAAGTGCTCACCCCTTATTACCGTATCCTTGATTATTTATCCTACATGTTTGAAGTGAGTGATGACGAGAATGTTCTTACTGTAAAAATTTTTCTGGAAAAACGAGTCCTAAATTAAGGCATTATTGGATTATTTTTTTAATATTAAGATAAACTAATATTTTCTTAAACGGCTTTAAAGATGAACTCTTCATCATCTATTGACCACAGGACTTTTGTTTTTTTAAACAGGGCAATTTGGAGGAATGAAGAAGGAGATCCTTTAAAGACGAACTCTTCACATCTATTGACCACAAGACTTTTTTTTTTTTTTTTAGACAGGGCAATTTGGAGGAATGAATAGGGATGGCAACGGATCCCCACGGGGGCGGGGACCCCCTTTCCAACCCCATCCCCGTTAATGGCGGATACGGAGATCCTTGCGGGGAATTTTGGTAAAGGGTCAAAAATTACCTCCATCCTCATCTCTGTGGGGAATAATAGGTCTCCACGGGTATTCGGAGTCCCCGCCAAATAAAACTATTACCTATTTCACTGCTTGTTAATCAAAATTCCAAAAGAAAATAGCAATTTTACAAAATCCTAAATAGCAAACAAAGATGATCAAGATCACTTTTTAAAACAAGATAAAAAGTAGTAAATATATACAATAACACAACCAATATATATATGTCATTATCAAGCAAGTCCAGCAAGTAAGCCAACAAGAAGTTCATATTTCATAAAGAAAAAAGGCATAAATTGCCATATAAATCCAGCAAATCCAACAAAAGGTTTATAAAAAATAAAAGCATAAATTACAACTGTCATATATGTCTAGATTCAGTAAAGTTGATAGAAAAAAAAAAA